CTGTGTTCCCAGCATGGAGCGATGGAACCAAACAAAGACAGGTTGGGGGATGGAACTCTGAGAAGGTGGGCATTGCTATGAAGTCATAAAATCTGGTTTTCAAGCATGGCACTAGAGCAGAGTTTCTCCATCTTGGCACTATGGACTTTTCAGACCAGATACTTTGTCGTGGGGCCATCCTGTGCGTTCTACGATGTTTAGCAGCATCCCTAGACTTGACCCAGTAGATGCAATAGCACTCCCCATCCTCCTAGTTTTGACAACCAAAAAATGTCACCCAACGTGGCCTAATGTTTGGGGAGCGGTGTGGAACACCTAGCCTAGAAGAACAGCTTGAAAGGATGGAGGAGAAGCAGGATTCAGATGCATTCTGATAATTCTGCTGAAGCATTTTTGGAAGGTTTTCCCACTCTTGGAATTGCCTTAAGAGCCAGTTTCTGAACAACATATGGAAATGAAACCCTCCTTCAAGCCCATACTTCATTGCTCATGGGTATATTCCTGGAATCACAGAATTTTAAAATTGGAAAAGATCTTAGAGATTAGCTAGGTTCAAATAATTATGTAACCCACTGAATATCTGAGCTTGTCCAAACCCAGCGTGTTAAAGATGTTTTGTCACTAGGACATGACATCCGTGCTAAAGAGAAACGATCAGACGTATTTCATTGTAAAGCATCTAGAACAGCACATATGCAAAGTAAAAGTCAAAATGTTATAGTTGTCCTGGGTGCACCTTGGGGTAAGTAGAGAATATCAGCCACAGGGGTTCATCACGATTTAAAACAAACAAAAGAACCTAGAGTTCGGTCCAGCCCCAGAGCTGGGAGACAGGTGTTGGGGGAGGTTTAGGGGGTGCAGAGTGAAAACTGGTTCGGTGATATTAAGGTCTACTGCCGGCTGCCATCACAGCATTTTTAGCAAAAAGTCACAGTTTTGTTGCTTGGTCAGGAAAACGTTGTTTCATTTATACAGCATTTCTCTCTCCTAGACACACATCCTGCATTCATTTCCTTGAGATGGTCCACTTAAGTAAAAGTAAACTGAAGGAAAGTCATCTAGAAAACAAATCACCCAGCGGTCTGCTTATTCATTTTTCATTAGCATCAAAACCATCTCTTCCTGAACAAAAGACGGAACAAACACCATCTCTTCCAAAACAAAAGATGGAAGGTGGAGGAAGGAGAAAGAGTTTTCAAGGGATTCTCATTTTGTTCCGTTTGGACTGCAATGGTGGAAAGTAAGTGTAGGGAGAACATCCCTTTTCCTTGTCCGATGTTTTCCTCTGGGGCTACTTCTGCTGAAGCCTCCCCATCCTTGCCTTCTCCTCGCCTCTACTTCATGCTCTTGGCCTGGGGTGCGGGTGGAGGCTTAGGAAGAGGATCTGGGAGAAGTCGTAGACATTCGGGTGACCTGAGCAGAGCAGGCTCTGTCCTGGGAAGGAGCCTGCAGTCAGCCAGCTGGGTTACACTGTCCCTGGGTGACACTGGGGCCGTGTCACCGTATCCAGCCCTTTTGGCTATAGATACAAAGCTCATATCCTTTCAACAGCTGTTCGGCAATAAAGCTGGCACTCTGAGTTCGCTTTGTCTTGTCTTCTGTGTCAGTTGGGTTTGAACTCAGGAGGGGAGGAAAAGGGTGTTATTAGCTCCTTAAGACACCAACTGTAAGATTGGGGTTAGAATGGTTTAAATAACCACGTGAGAACACTGGCCCATTCACACCACATCCCACAACTGCATGATCAAAGCCCAGTTAGACCCCCATCTCCAGGCTCAGATACTCAGAGTCCGGTCTCACAAATGGGGAGATGCCAAGCTGACTACAGGAATGCTATTCAGTATCTCATAATTTTAAAAGAAAGCAACTTTCTCCTTTTGGGGGCAGGATTCTCCCCAAGTTCAAGTGCTGGCTCTGATACGAGCTTAGGTGAGTTTCACCTTCACGGTGCTGTTCAACTGTGACGGTCTCAGAGGTGGTGATGATAAAACCAGGAATTCTAGGTTTTGTGTTTGTTTTTAAATATGTTACCACCGGTGAGAGAAAGGACCCTGTGAAGACAGAGCAAAAATGCAGAGCCATGAAACTCGGTGGCCTCCAGGTGGTTAAAGCTCACATTCATTTATTCTATGTGTTCCTTATAGAGTGAGACATCATTGCCTCTAGAGGTCCCTAAGGAATTTAATTTAATGAAATGATCAGAACAACAGCAATTAGAATATAATTGTGTGTACGTAAATATGTATAGGGGAACTTTGATAGAGTTTACGGTTGCTACATTCATCCAGAATTTTGGCCTACATTATTAATCTGCACTACTATGAAGAAAAGTTTTGTTAGTCAAAGATAAACCATCCCGATGATTTTGAATTAGTGAACTCCAAGTCGCTGTGGGATAATGAGACGGCACTGTGCACACACACGACTCTCTGCTAAGCAGGGGCCTTCTGGCTGGCCACATAGGAGGTCTCCTTATTGAAAGATTTATTTTTAATTTTGAACAGCTTCCCAGCATTACCCTTTATGAAAATTAAAATAAGGAGCTGGAATTTTGTCCTATTCAGCAAACCTCCTGGCAGGACTGCTCGCCGTGTCAGAGAAAACCTCATTGTGTCAGAGGAATTCCCTGTCCACCATTTCTCTAGATCTAGAACAATTACACCTACTTTTTAAATAAAACTTTGACTTTGTTTCCTTCCCAGGCATAATGTTTTTGCACATTTTCTTCTTCTGGAGGATTTCTGGCCTGTCTTCCTTGTGTTCTTTGTGCCTTCTGGCTTGGTAGGGGTTGACATAGTCCCTTGGGGCTTAAATCTTTAAATATACAGAGTCAGAGAAGTCTCCCCACAAAATCTGTGGGAGCCAAGCCTGTCCTCAGCACATCTCCCAGAGGCTACCCTCTGCCAAAGAGAATGACTTCACTTGTACAGCTGAGGCTTCAAAGGTCCATTCCTAGTTTTAATTCCATTAAGAACACAAAGTAGTGATGTACTGGAGGATAGCTGGAAGAATACAGGGGGGCTGAACATAAGAATATTGATTGAATCATAAACCAGATTCTCTAGGGGTGCAAAGACCACTCTGCACCTTCTTGGCTCCCTGTAACTCAACATCCTAGGTTTCCCAGGACCTATGTGCAATATTTCCTGCCTTCTTCCAAAAGACAACTAATAAAAAGCTGGCATTCACAGAGTCCTTGTGATGCCATCAAAACCTCCTAAATTGGGCTTCCCTGGTGGCGCAGTGATTAGGAATCTGCCTGCCAATACAGGGGACACAGGTTCGAGCCCTGGTCCGGGAAGATCCCACATGCCGTGGAGCAACTGAGCCCGTGCGCCACAACTACTGAGCCTGCGCTCTACAGCCATGAGCCACAACTGCTGAGCCCGTGTGCCACAACTACTGAAGCCCGTGCGCCTAGAGCCCGTGCTCCACAACAAGGGAAGCAACCGCAATGAGAAGCCCACGCGCAGCAACGAAGACCCAAAGCAGCCAAAAATAGATTAATTAATTAATTAAATAAATTGATTAAAAAATAATTTTTAAAAAACCCCAAAACCTCCTAAATCATACTAGCCTTTGTAGAGAAATAAAAGCGATGACCACAACAGTGTTCACATCCTAGAAGTGCAGAAATAAAAGGCAAAAACATAACAAGAGGATCTGTTCACACCACATATTTTTAAAGACTGGTCACATCTGTGTGACTTAAACTACCTTCTGGGAAGATCTGTCAGTCTAGCACCAATGCAAAATCTTCCCTCAGTCTTAACTTTTTATTTATTCTAGAGAGTTCAGGGAAAAGTGGAAAAAGAATGACTTTGGATTGGGATACTGGAATACTTCTCACTATGGAGTCAATCAGTACAGACATATTTTACTTAACTATTGAGTGCACTTACTGAAACTCTCATCTAAGGGAGCAGTGCACTAAGAGGCGATAGGACTGTTGGCAATTTATGATCCTTTTCTGATGAAGTGGGTTGTTCTTAAGAGCTTCACAAAAGGATAAACCACAGTCCTTTTTTCCTGCTCCCCTTTAAATCCCCAGAAATAAATAACACGGAGGTGGCAATGTGAAACATGTGGTAGAAATCCAGAATGGAAAATTATCATGAGAAAGTGTGGAAACTTCTTTGGGGGAAGAATGGGAGTAAGTGGGTCAGGAGCAGAGCCTAGAAATCTAGATTCTAATTCACACTTTGGAATACCTGATATTCAAGATTGGATAACAGTTCTGCAATTACCGCAGCAGAAACTCTCCATGAACAGAAAATGCTTTCCAGTCATCTGAATTAGAAGAGGAAAGTGATGCAGGAAACAAGGCAAATTAACTCTCCTCCTCCACCTGTCAAGTGTGAATTTAACTATGAAAGTGACTACAGAAGTAGCATGTGTTTGAAGGAACATTTTGTCAACCACACAGAGCAAGCTACCCATTAAACCATTCACCATTCACAGGCTCACCACCTGGTGATTCCAGTAAAGACCCGTGTCAGTTATTCTTTAATTTTTAAAATAAAAAAACAAGATCAAAACTACATCCACTAATGCTGTTGTTGGAAAATACAGCAAATGCCAATATAGCACTCTGTGTTGGTAAAAATCCACTTTATATTCCTAAATAATATGTAAATGTGCTGATATGTGACCATGACCTTGTGATTAAAACGGCCAAGACGCATCCCTTACAAGAGAAGTCTAGCATGGAATGACCCAACCCAATGTCATCTGTTTTCAACCAGACTCTGTCTTAGCCTTCATTTAATCTCCACCACCTAGTACAATGCATGTTACACAGCTGGTATCCAAAAAAATATCTGCTGAATGAATAAACATCCTTCTAAGCATCTTTTGTATTATACTGCAGCTCACGGGTTTATGATTAGATCCCTGTAGTTCTTCTTCAACTGGAGAACTTTAGCATCCTTCATGGATATCAACACAAGCTCTTTCTCCATAAATGTTTAGATAGACGATAAAGTGGAGCCAATCCCTACCTGCTTGGTTGGTGGTCACAGTGACGGACACAGATTGGTCTGGGCTAGGGTTATACTTGGATACGCCGTTCACTGCCCAGATTTCAAACGTGTAGTTGGTATGAGCCAGGAGGTCAGTGATGGAGACCTTGGTGGACTTCAGTCCGTTCTGCTGCGGGGTGTAGTGGACCCCACTTCCGCAGGGTCGGCACTTGCTGGAGTCACCTGGTCCACATTTCTTGCACACGACGTTGTAGGAAATATCCTGGCGGCCACCCGTGTTCTGAGGACTGCTCCATTCCAAGTTCACTGAAGTCTCGTTGACATTTGAAATCAAGTTTAGAGGAGCAGATGGTGGACCTGGAAAAAGAAAGAAACAAAACAAAACATACTATCACATCAAGAACTGAAACTAGCCTCTGGAATCTCTTGGAGCTTATATTCTTCTCTGCAGCTACAAGAAGCAAGACGGTCCTGTTTGGCAAAGAAAGCCAAAAGCAAATCGAGCCAGCAAAAATCTTTTAAAAGAGCAACATGATAGGGAATTCCCTGGTGGTCCAGTGTTTAGGAGTCCATGCTTCCCCTGCAGCGGACACATGTTTGGTCCCTGGTCGGGGAATTAAGATCCCACAAGCCGTGCAGCCAAAAAAATTAAAAAAAAAAAAAAGAGCCATATGATTGAAGGCTATATGTGTGAGTGTCATTCTCCTTCCTGAACAAACAAATGTAGCATTGACTGCCACTGTGAGACTTGAAACTACTCTATATCAAATGGGCTCCAAGCCTGACTTTCCATCTGAAGTGGCCAGGCTTTTTTTCTCATAACTTATCTAGTCTTAATCTAATCATCTGAAAGATGGGTATACGAATGTGTTTCTAATTCCCAGGGCTGTTGTGGGACTCTGGTAAATTAATAGTTATATACCACTTCTGAAGATAAATGATGATTCCTAAGTACGGTGCGTCACCAATATGGAATAAAAATAACTGCACTGTATAGATACGCCTCTTCAGTCTGACATGGCAGTTGAGAGTTAAGCTGTTTATGGGTAATTAAGTAGGAACTGGTTTAACCTGGTTGCAGAGATGTCGAAGGTACAGTTGTTGAGAAATCTCAACTCCAGGGCAGGGATTGTGCAAAGACTTCTAAGACCCCATGTCCTGTCCTTCAACTGACCGGGGCTGCACCAGGCTCTTCTTATGATACACATTTCCACTGACATCAAAGGTTTCCAAAATATGTCTGGTGGCAGTGGCTGTTTTGAAACAGAACTGATTGCAAACAACATAAATGGTTGGTTTAAAAACAGTAACAATAAATAAGACCACAGACTCACGATGAACCATCTCGATTCTTGCTGTAGATTAGTCTCTATGCCAAGATGTTGTGACACAAACTGTCTTCAGGGAGAAGAATCAGGGTGAAACAGAAAAGGGGGAATTTTCCTAGTCTGAGCTGATTCCAAAGGTCTAAAAGATACCTGCTGCACTCTAGGAAAAAGTATTGACTCACTGCAACAATTGGAAGGTTCTCTCTTTTCTTTCCTCTTTCCCAATTTGGTGTTCCAAGAAAAGAGCCAAAGCAAGTTTCAGTGACAATCCGAGGCTTCTTGCTTATTGTTTCTATTCTACTTCTAATATATTTGTAATGACTGCTTTCAGGGAAATGTGTCCATGTTCCCCAGAAAAAGGAGGTTAACCGGAAGCCTGCATGAGGTCAGGAGAAGCTTTACCTAGTCAACCATAACGGAATATACTGTTCCAGACTAGCCATCGCCAGAGAATTGGAAGAGGTAACTTTTACGAATAAGGAGTCATATTCAGTATTTATTACTTAGTTCACAGTGATGAATGGCTAAAGGATTTTGGTAATAATATTGAATAAGGGTAATTCACTCTCCTTTTCTCTTTATACAACTTAATTGAAGCCTCTATTTATTTATTTATTTATTTATTTATTTTTGCGGTACGCGGGCCTCTCACTGTTGTGGCCTCTTCCCACAACAGTGCTGTGGCCTCTCCCGGAGCACAGGCTCCGGACGCACAGGCTCCGGGGTCATGGCTCACGGGCCCAGCCGCTCCGCGGCATCTGGGATCTTCCCGGACCGGGGCACGAACCCGTGTCCCCTGCATCGGCACGCGGACTCTCAACCACTGCGCCACCAGGGAAGCCCGAAGCCTTTATTTTAACAAGGTAAGCAGGACCTCCCAATCTCCCTGGGAGACTAATTACCGACAACCTCTCTCTCTTAATGTTAAGACCCGGTCCCCATCCTGAGAACCTTAAAGGAAAGATAGTGCTGTAAAATTTGTGTTAAAGGTAAGATTGCCCCCACAGAGGTCCTCAGAAAGGAAGCACAAATTTCCTTCTTGTTTAGATTCCAAATTTATATCTATGGTCCTTAGTAGAGTAATGGAAAACAACAGGATTAAGTAAATGTTTTTCTGAATAAATGATTAGAGCTATTTGAAATCACAGACTCCTAGAGCCAGATAAGATGTTAAAGATCATTTGGCTAAATAGCCTTATTTTATAGATGAGGAAATTGAGAGCCAGAAAGCAGAGTTGACAATACTGAAAGTTCACGCAACCTAATTAGTGACAGAGTCCAACTAAAATCCCAAAGTACTGACTCCCACACTCTGGGGTTATTTCCACATTAAAGGTAAAATAACAACAAAATCAGTAGCTTCAGCCAAAGTTTGAGAGGTAAAGATAGGAAAAGGGAAGGTGTATCTTCAATCCTGTTCAAATTCTGTAGATGTTTCTTTCCATCATAGTGAAATTGATTGCTAGTCTGCCGCTGAAGTTGACCACAGCTTGGTTCATAAAATGAGTCAAGCCACTGGTTCTTATTTTGCTGTGACTTTCAGGGTTAAATAAGAGTGACTCTCAAATGCATTAACCTCCTTGCCAAGGTTCCTAGTCCACTTTCACATGGGAAAATGTGACACAATGAATCAAGCACAGAAGCAAAAAGTCAGTAATTAGTATGTAGGACGGGGCATGGCAGTGTCTAAACAGAGAAGAAATGGAGCAGAAAACTAAAGGGTCACAGGACTCAGAGATATAACGCTGCTACGTGAAAAAAAAATACAAAGATGCTGCCGGGTTTCAAAATGGAGGGCTGGCATTAAAACAAGACGCAGTGCGGAATAGCCTTCTTCCTTGGGTCAGTGATTCTTAAGGAATCTACCCTGGGGCAAATGCTCAATGGAAGACAGAGAAGTAAGCAAGTTCAAGTTCAATGCTGCCTCCACGAATGGTTTGGTGACTTGTACTGCGTATGTGTTATGTTTTGTTGCCATAAGGAGTGATGGTTACATGGGGGCACAGCAGCAGCTTACACGTTGGACTATAGCCAGAGAATTGAGGTGGGGGGAAGGAATAATAGGAGTGTGCACCTAGTAGATGATTATTTTGGCCTCTGCATAAACCTGGGAAAGCACACTTGCTTTATAAATTAAAATCACAATGGTGGTTGTATTGAGTTTTTCCTTTTCAAAAAAACTTTGCCAATTAAAAGATGGTAAACACATCAGGTGTGTTTCCATGTATAGGGAAGGGCCATCTCTTCCTCAGAAAAGAAAGTATCCTCTTCTCAAGAATATGAAAAAAACAGCATGGCCTTTAATACAGCCAAGTCAATCTGGGCCCAATGGTCATACTTAACGGCAGCATCTTAAAATAATTACCTGTAGAGAGGACTAAAGAGAATAATACAGGCAACATGAGTAACACTGAGTTTTCTCAATAAACACAAGGCATCCAGAAGGAAAAAACTTAACTCTTTTTTTAAAGTATTGAAACCCAGCAGGACTCTGTAGGGCCTTCCCGGGGACAGATCCCCATGGCCCCTCTCCCTTGTGTGTGGAAAAGCTTTAGCCTCCTAGGCCTTCCCCAAGTTCCAAAGAGCAATTTAATCAGGGAAGTGAGAATATGCAGAAACAAAGGAAAACAGTCAAGCGAGACAAAATAATAATAGTTTAGCCATAAAACAAAGTCAAGGACCTTTAATTCCTCCTCAAGGGCTACAGTTAATATCCTGAACCACAACCTTGACTTGTTCTGTAGATACTAAAACCCTCATCAGGTAAAAGAAGCTAATTGCATGCTGACACAAGCACTAGACCCCAGGCCAGTTGGAACCAGAAGGTCCATGACTGAGATTCCCGAAACATCACCCTGTTACCTCACCATCAACCAATCAGAGAATTGAGCATGAGCTGATCACATACCTTGAGACTCTCCCTCACACTGTCTTTAGAAACCCTTCCCTGAAAGTCATCAGAGAGTTCCAGTCTTTTGAGCATTAGCTGTCCATTCTCCTCACTTGGGGCCTGGCAATAAATGCTGTACTTTCCTTCACCACAACCTTGTGTCAGTAGATTGGTTTTGCCGCAGGTCAGGTGAGCAGGCCCAAGCTTGGTTCGGTAATAGCATCATATCTAGATACTTAGGAACAATTAAATTTCTGACAAATGCTTGCCTTTCTCATCAGAAATATACCCACCTCTAAATGTCTCCAATTTCAAATATGAGATTTATAACTAATAGGGATAATCATACCATTTAATTTTCTAGTCTCCATATTGAAATCGTATGTACCAAGCATACACCAACATCAGGTAGCTGCAGGTCACTGTGAATTATAGGGTTTTATGTCTTCCCAAACTGCCCACTACTAGTCTCAATGTAGGACTGGCAGTAATCCTGCTTATGAGATTATTCCATATTTCAGGGCATTATTTCTATTTCCTACTCTGTTTGGAACATGTAAAGGGGTCTTGCTAATCAGACACCCAGTACATATCTGTTTCTATCACAGTCTGTGTGCTCCTCAAGAGAAGAATTGATGTCTTCCTCATTTCCCAGTATCTCCTATGATTCCTAGTTCAGAGCAAGCTCAATAAACTTTTGAGGAATCACAAATGACTGGATGGAAAACTAACAAGGTCCTCTAATGCATCTTCTGCCCATCTACCTACAATGTTATTTTAAGCCTGTTAATTAATACAAGCTTCTCTGAGATAAGGCTGTACTAGCCAGCTTTTCACATACTGATTCATTACCATTAAGCCCTGTAAACGAGTATCTCAGAGTAGCTAGTTTAATTCAAGTTCTTCTTTTCCACATTTTAAAAATACTTTGGAACAAGTAGGGAGGGCTATGTATCATATAGAGGTGGTTTCTTCTGTTAGGAGGGACTGTGGAATCATTCAATTAATCAACAAATATTTATTGTGTCCAGTATTTGTCACCTGCTCTAGAGGAGGGAGGAAAAAGAAATATTCTGATTCATTTTGATACTCTCCTGGATAGTTGAAGGAAGGGGCAGGAAATCAAAGGGGGAAGGAAG